TTGGCTTTACACTTAGTACTTACTTTGAGTTGTAACGCAGCCCATGAACTTTACAATGTTTGGCTGATTGTTTTCACCGATAAGTTTTCCCAGCTCAATTTCTCTCATCAAACATTTCCTTCCCTCCTCTCCAGCAGTGGCTACAATAACAGGGTATGTTGATGAAGAAAATAATTCTGATAAATGGATTCGTTTCAAGCTTGAGACTGAGAATTAATCTATTTAGGTTTCAAACCTCACATCTTTCTTTTACCATTTAGATTATTTTATTTGAAACCAGTACGTTACTCAACTCACTGACGAGTTCTCCCTAGACATTGCTGGGTCGATAGAGTTGGAACCAGTTAAGGTTCAAATCCTACCAATGGATTCTTAGTTTTCTTTGTTTAGCATCTTCATGAAAATTATTTTTGTTGCCGCTTTTGTTCCGTATATTGCCGCGAACGGTGAATATCCACGAAAATCAGATCTTTTAAACCAAAATCCTTCACAAGGGCGCCGAGAAAAAAACTCGCACTAACTGTTTACAGTGATCAGCCTAAAATTATAATCGAATCGAGAGAAAGTAAAAGATATGAAGAGGTTTCAAATGGATGGCCTTGTGGCGCCGTTCGGAGATGCTGCCAGCGCGCATGCGCGAAAACTTAGATGTCCCGTATGGGGACCCAGGCGACGGTCGTGTGTAAAGCATCCAAACCTTGTAAATGTTATCGAAAACCACCGTCCACTTAGTCTGTTGGAATGCCCCCCTCAACCCGAGAGATTGTCTATTACTGGAAAAATGGGGATAAGTCACATTCTGTTGGAAATAATTGCATTTTTTAGCAAAACATAGTTCAGGGGAAAAATAAGCTCTAGCGGATCCATTGACGGATTCACAGGGAAGATCCAGGCCTACCCCTCATCTCACTCCAGATACAAATGCATGGCACAAAAAGTTTTGCAATGACAAGATCGCCTAACTGGCTGATTTCTTTTTTAATCAATTTGTTTGCCTTTTCTCTCTTCTGTTCAGTGTTTATCTGTGAGCGAAGAAGAATGGAGGAGGTTGTGCGTTGGTCGAGAGATATGTTTGGACCCCCTCTCCGTATTAAACTTTCTAGAATGCACCCCTGGAATCAATATAAGTATCAACATATGGAAACAAAGGAATCTTACGCGTGAAGCATTTAGCGGCGACTGTACGGTTTCCAGGCCTTCCATTCGGTGAACTCAGGAGAGCTCTCCATACGGCTCCGAACGCCCCTCGCCCAATGACTTCTTGAAGCAGGACACGGCTCACCTCAATCTCCCACACATCTACCTCCACATTCAATGGCTCCATCTGAATTGCTTGCTCTTGATCAGGGCTGAAAACTGGAAACGTTACATACTTTCGGGGTTAAAACAAAGAACGGTGGTAAAAAAAAAAAATTTGCTTTTGAAATAAAAAAAAATATTAATTTGCTAGTATAATTTTATTGATTGCCCCGACTTTTAAAGAGATAATTGCCCTTGCTGATGATGAGAAGACAAAGTTATCACTAAACTAGAGACCTAACTTATCACAAAACACGCTCGTAACTATTCATTATGTAAGTACACTCCACAGATCGGACTGAGTAAAAAAAACTACGGACACTTTTTCAGTTGTTTAAAAACCGGAAAATTATACTTTAAATTCAAATTTAAAAAACATTGAGCTTTGGGATACAAACAGGTGGAATTCATAGAAACTTTGAGACAAGGAAGAAAAAAATTAACAAACGAACGAATAAGGTTGATTCTATCAGCAATTTTAGAATGTTAAATATGACGGCATAATTATTATCATAAAAGTAAAATGATATCATCTTTGCTACGATCATCAAGTAAGGTCGTAAGTCACAAGGGGGGTCAGAAATAAATTGAAAAAAACGAAAAAAAAAAGTGATGTTGGTGACTGATAAATATGGGGATAGCCTGGAAAGGATTAAGGCATGAGTAAAAATTTGATGAACAAAAGGTAAAGTAGTTGACTTATTTTCTTTTTATATGTAAGCATTAGCTAGCTTCTGTTACTCTAATCAAAGGTGGCTAAAATAAAACAAAACAACTGAGCTTCACCTGTCCTTCGACGCTTGCAGAAAAAGCAGGCAATTAGCGAAATGACAATCACCACCGCCACTAATCCACCAATGTAATACCACAAAGAATTGGAACCTTGAATGGCTCTTGGAATTTGCTCGGCTAATTGTGTGAAATAAATGTGGTCACTCGATCAATCTCAACGATAGTGCCTGTAATAATAGTATGTTACCGTCCGGAATGGCCTTGGGCATCCCTGTTGTGCATTATTTTAACCCGTCATTGACGCCTGTTCTTGAAAGCGAAATCACTAATTTTTCTTTGTGTAGATTTATAGATAAATCCAAGGTTATTTTCCTGTGACCCTCCACGTGAACAAGTGGAGTATGTAGCTATACACATGTATAAGGTTGTGCTACTGTTTCTAATTCCTTTTTTTATTAAAAACGTTTATATTTTCCAAGAAAAAAAAACCGATAGCAAACTTTGGGGAGAACGTGAGAAGCAGAAGTTTTCTCCTATAAGAATGATCACGTAACATGATTACTGAAGTGTTATGTGCTTCTTTAGACACAACAATAACGCCAGGTTTACCTTTGACAATTATGTTTACAAAGGAGCGGGCCACAAACCCAAGCTTGTTACGTCCTTCACAAGAATATTCACCACCGTCTTCTTCCAAAACCTCACTGATAGAAAGTTCACTCTTTGTTTCACCCAGTTGTGTATCAATCTTTGCTCTTTCTGATGGTGAGTCTCCATCTTTCTTCCAAGTTACATTTATCGTTTCTTCGCTAACGTTGCAGGTCAATGTAAGGACATCTCCAGTTTTGAGTGTTGGATATGGATCTGGAAGAACTTGAGCAGAGGCCTTTCCTACGTTGAGAATAAGGGGTAATTAGTGAAAACAAAATCCTAACTCACATTTTACGACACTCCAAAGTAAAACAAAAATGGATTGATAAAAGGAAAAGAGACTAAATTTGATCTCATGACAAGAACGTTTGGAACACATTGCTTTGGATGAAAAGGTTTGGAGAAGGCTTCAAAAGGAAACTTCAGGCCCCATGTTTTTTTTTATAAGACTGATTACTGTTGCGAGCGCCCAAAATTACAACTAAGAATCTTTAAAATTTCCTATAGTTCCAATCCTTTGAAATTTTAAACTAACATCTTGGTAATCGTATCAAAAG